AACCCCTCTGTACATTTATTTTATTTTTTTCAAATATTTCTGTGATGTTAAACAGAACATTTCTCATAGTATTTCCCATTATATTTAATCTTCTGAATAGTTGTATTCCATTTAATTGCTAAAAAATAATTTAAAGTAAATACTACTAGATCCCATAATAGTTTATGAGGCTCTTTTTCAAAAGGCTACAAAACAAACCACAGGAATGCTAACATTTCTAATTTAAAATTCAATATATATAATTTATGTATTGAGTCACAAAATTAATCTAATATACTAATTTGCTGCTTAAACATTTTTTGTTCCGATTTAAGTGAAAAATACCTGTGTTGCTTAAAATTTTTAGAATGACGAACGAATTATTTAAATAATTTTATTTAAATATAAATATTATTTATAATTTTTAATATTATAGATATTTTATACTGTTATAAATGTGAAAGCAGTTTTAACTAGTGTTAATATTCATTTCATTCAATAAAGGTCTGGTAATATTACTTCTAAATTAAAAATAAATAACCATCATATAGAGCTTTTAAAAATCAAACATTGCAAGTTTACTACTTTATTTAAAAAATTAAAACGGCATCTAAATTATAAGATCATTCTTTTAGATTTAGAAGAAATATAATCTGTAGCTTACAGAATAATAATAAAAACATTTTAGCAAAAGAATTATAAATCATAAATCCAGAGAGAATTTAAGCGGTCTCTTAAAAAGGCCTGGCAGAGCACCACCAGGGATGAAACCCAGCATCTGGTGATGTCTATGCGTTCCAGACTTCAGGCTGTAATTGACTGCAAAAGATTTGCAACCAAATATTAAAAAGTGAAAGATTGATTTGTGATTATTATTCTGTCCAAGTACTTTTGGAACCTAAACAAGTGGGAGGCACATATGCAAACTGTTATAATTCCTACACCGTTCACCTGATTTGGATGTAAAAATACTTAAATTAAAGCTGACAGTTTGCAGTTAAAGCACATCTCATTTCATTTTAAATCCATTGTGTTGGTACATAGAGCCAAAAATGTTAGAATTGTGTCGATGTACAAATATTTATGGCCCTAACTATATAACTATTACAATAAACCTGCTAACTAACAACTTTACCTGTTCTGAATAGTTTTTGTTGTTGTTGTTTTTACAAATTTTTAAAGTGTCACAATGGTTGTGGGATTGTCACTCTGCCCCTCATTAAAGTAATGTAATGTGATGTGATTGCCAATGTAGCTGGATAGTTTGGTTCATGGTTGATTTAACAAAGATTTTGTTTAAATTCCCTATGGGTAAAACGAATTAGGAAAAAAAAAACACTTCTGGACATGCACTAAAGCACTCTACAGTGCCAGTACATATCCATTTCCACAACACACTCAACTCTCATTTCAAGAAATCAATGAAACTTAAGACTTTTCATGAAATTATAGAGCAGACACTCATTAGCAAACTCACCAGAGACGAGCATTATCCAGGGCACGAGTAAAAGCATGACACTGTGAAACGTCACGCCCTCCTTTAGGATGAAAATGAAGACTTCAGCGTTCATGACAACTGCATAGAGCAGCCCTGCCCACATGAAGAGCAGACAGGTCAGGAAATACCGGTAATTGTGAAAGCCGACGCACTGGCCAAAAAACACACAGTGGTGATCGCGCCGCAGTACACACACGTTACAGTCATAGCAGTGCGAGCATCGTGGAGGAGTGTGTGTCTCACAGTTGTAACAGTACCTGAAGAAAACATCAAATCACAATGGTTAATAATGAGCTTTCACCATGAACCGGAGAACACCACATAAGCTGAAAAACTGATTTTGGAATATAAATGAATGCTAAATACAGAGCAAATGCAAAATCATGCACCTGACAATGCTATGATTTGGGGCTTTTTGGCTTTTTGATTTTCCCCCCAGACAGATATAAAAAAATATCCAAAATATTTTGTGTGTTTATTTTGTTGCAAGTTATCAATTTGTTTTTGTAGATTTAAGTTACAGTGCACACTTTAATAGCTAGATTCACAAAATTAGCTTTTTTTTCTCATGCACTGAGCAAAAAATCTCTACTTCATCAACACTTATTGTGCACAGACTAAAATTAACAGTTTTAATAATTTCTATATTTCTAAGGTTTTACAAAAAGATATATTAACAGACATTTTGTCGGATTACATGCAACTTTTTAGGCTGCAAAAAAATTCATTTATTTCTGGATAAAATGTAATTAATTTCTAAATAATGATAAATCTTAATACAGTAAAAAATGATGCAAAAGACACCCAAAATATTTTGTGAGAATCTTTTGGCATCAATGTTTAAATAAATAAACTTAATTACTAGACAAGAATATTACACCTGACTTCATCCAATGTGCTAGAAATGTATGGAAAATGGCACATATTTAATGCTTTTTTAAAATTTGTAAAGAAAACATAACTAACTAACTAACTTTGAATAAAAAACTGCAACCCTTTAAGTAATCAATCAACTGGGTAATATTGGTGACAATAACTGTTTTTTATACTATTTATATGGAGTGTCTTGCTGTAAATGGACAGTTCCCCCCCAAAAAATCCATTCCCTCCCCATTTACTCACACTTAAGTGCTTATATATATTTATTTATAGAAACAGGAAACACGTCGGGCCATTGGTTTTTTTTACATCCCTCAAAACTGTCTATAGTAGGAAAAAATAATTAATTAATTAATTAATAATTAATTAATAATAAAGTTATTCAATGGATTACACAACACAGAAATTCAAACTGGTTTGGAACAAGTAAAAGATGAGTTAATGACAACAGAATTTTCTTTTTTGTGAACTATCGCTTTAACAATCAATGCAAGCAAGTTACCTCCAACCTTGACCCAAAGTATCTCCTCCAAGAAACACTCCGCGAATACTGGGGTTGGTTTTCACGAACAGCGAGGCGTTCCAGGTTATGTTTCCCAGCATGAAGTACTGGGCGAATAGATGCAGGCCAGTCCAAATAGTGGACCAGTCGGTCTTCTTCTGCTCCGGTTCAAAAGGAGCCTCGACCAGCACCAGATAACTGACCTCTGCGGTGATGGAGAACACCAACACGGCGTTCAGGACGATCGGCAGCTGACGACCGGTCGACTCCACCTTACACCAGACTCTGCTCATAAAGCTGGTCATGTTTTCAGCCTTTTATCAAACCAAACGCTTCTTGACACACAACCTGCTCAACCTGTTTTCAACCTGTAAAAAGCCACTCGGTCCACGTTTGCTCGAATCTAAACACAAAAAGGAAAGAGAGACAATTGGGGGAGACGTTAAAATCATTAAACGACACATTTTATTTCCTGAAGGCATGATAAACAGAAAGTTGCAATGAATTAACAATTGCTAATACAACATCGAAGGTTCAAGTAGTTGTCGCTGACAGAAACAACCAGTTGAAAACTAAAAAAATATCCGTAATATATTGTAAGTAAGTGATTCCGACCTGTCATTCCATTCAGTATATTGTCCCGACAGTAAATACAGAGCAAATCTTTCACAATGAACTGCTGCTGCTTCTGGCTAACAACATTCGGCACATGACAGGTCTGTGTCGCAGCTGAAACATTCCGTCTGCCGCAACGCCCCTCTAAAAGAGTTCCACGCTTGTACAAAAATCTGCCAAATTTACTTCAGTCTTTTTTTTTAAATCACATAAGGTTTTGTCAAACAAACAAACTTATAAACAAGTAATTAAATAAACAAACAAGATTTTTTTAAATATGTGACTTATAATTTATTTAACGTATTTTAACAAATATAAATATAATATAACATTATTTTAATTACATTGATTCACTGTTAAAAACTGTGAAAATAAAACAGCTGTAAAAATGTCTTAAATATGTTTATGGTCTTATTTAGTTGAGTATTATTATGATTGCTATTATTTCTGCTCTTAGTTATTATATAATAGATAAATGTCTATCCGTATGCGTATGTCATTCCGTATGCCGCAAAGATACTCAAAGTTCCACGTTGAAATAAAACAAAATTACTTCATGTTTTTTTTTATCACATAAGGTTTTTCTCATATATATATATATATATATATATATATATATATATATATATATATATATATATATATATATATATATATATATATATATATATATATATATGATTTACATGCAAACTGTGCTATTGTGTTATATTATTTTAATTATGTTTCATGCTTTAATCTATCTATCTATCTATCTATCTATCTATCTATCTATCTATCTATCTATCTATCTATCTATCTATCTATCTATCTATCTATCTATATTATCTATATCTATACATATACATATATATATATATATATATATATATATATATATATATATATATATATATATATATATATATAATAATTTAATTGAATGTATTTAACTAATACAAAATAAACAAATACGATTGTTTTAATTACATTGATTCATTGTTAACAATACTGTTAAATGAGAAAAATCACAGCTGTGAAAATACGTCTTAAATATTTTTTATATTTTATTTTTTACATGCAAACTGTGCTATTGTGTTATATTATTTTAATTATGTTTCATGCTTTAATCTATCTATCTATCTATCTATCTATCTATCTATCTATCTATCTATCTATCTATCTATCTATCTATCTATCTATCTATCTATCTATATTATCTATATCTATACATATACATATATATATATATATATATATATATATATATATATATATATATATATATATATATATATATATATATATAATTTAATTGAATGTATTTAACTAATACAAAATAAACAAATACGATTGTTTTAATTACATTGATTCATTGTTAACAATACTGTTAAATGAGAAAAATCACAGCTGTGAAAATACGTCTTAAATATTTTTATGGTCTTTTTTGTTGAGAATTTAGTAGCCTACAGTATTATAATGATTGCTATTATTTGGTAAACAATAACGCAACAACTTTTGTAAATAAATAATATTAAAGAAAGCCATGTTGAGTTATGTGACAGGCTTCTGTAAAACTGCGTGTAGTGAATAGTCCGTAAAAGGAGTAGACAGACTTCTATGACCACTCCTTTCCTTTCTGACCTCCTTCCACAAAGAATAATCCCTAATCTCATATAATCCGCACTGTTGGTTGTAGAGAGAGCCGACTGCCATTCACTGCGAGTTTAGCATGACATCATATACAAAGAGCGAGATGGACAATTATCAAGCATACGAAAATCTACAACACAAGTGAGTGCTCGAGTCACCAGCAACTGTAAAGCCTTATATTTTATTCTGTGTGTTTCAGCCTCAGATCTAGCCTACTTCTACCTCTTCTCGAATTGAAATTACTCAAGTTTATTAAAGGATAGTTTGTTTTATGCTGTCGAGATGTTGTGATGCAAACCATGACAGGCTACTGTATATTAAATTCTCAGTGAATGCTGATTTAATAATTTTCTCATGCGCTATCACAACCAGCAGAGAGCGCTATTGTCTGTCAATATAAAGTAAAAGTTTAAATAACCAAGGAATTAAAAATGAAATCCACTTTGTTTTGTTTTATAAAATATCAAACTCGCATCTTTGATAAAAGTGACGAAAGAATGATGCGGTCACGCAAAAAACTAACGCTCTTTACCTTCTGAGGAAAGTTAGTCACACATGTTAAGATTACGATTTAGTAGACTGTGTGTGTGTGTGTGTGTGTGTGTGTGTGTGTGTGCGTGTGTGTGTGTTTAACACTATAACAATGTTTTCTGAACGTTTTGTTTAATAATTCTAGTCAGCGAAGGAGGATGCAGCTCCAGAACGATCTTCAGTCACAACAAAGAAGTCATCGCCTGTAAGAATAAAACATTCATTGACTGATATCTGCTGAATTCCTAATTTGAGAATAGAGTGTGCTATCTATTATAGGATGTTGTGATTTTTAATGTAATTGTGTTTGTATGACTTATTTGAAGTTGTAAAAAAATGATACCTGATAAAAGTTTTATACTTTGGAACCAAAGGGATAAAAATTGCCTGCTACTACTGCTACTACTGCTTACTACAAGAATCGGTAAAAAGCTTTGTAATATTGAATTTATAAAATGTACCAGTTTCTTGTTTTGTGTATTACAACTACTCATTCATTAGCTACCAGTCTCATATTTGTTATTGTTAGTCAGTTTTTTTACTTGTCTTATGTTATGTGTATATATATATATATATATATATATATATATAACTAATCAGAAAACCAATGTTTAAAAATCTTTCAAAATTCATAATAGTAACATCTGGAATAAGAACTAGTATCTAATAAATAACTAACAGCATCTGATAAATTAGAATAAGTAGGCTATCTAATAAACAAGTAGGCTACCAGTATCATGTAATTAATAAAAACGAGTCTCTATTTAATCAGTGTTTTACAAGTATTTTAGAAAAATGAGTGTTGTGTTAGTGAATGAGTTGCTGATGTGTTTGGTTTGATTATAGTAGCAGGGCTGCCTGGCTGCAGGGCCGCTGGTTGGAGATCAGTGAGCAGGAACGCAGAGCTCATATTCATAACTAAAAACTCCTGCAGGACTTTCAGAGAGCAGAAGACACACTCAGCGACATGGTGGCCCGTACCGAAGCCATGAACATCATACGGGTCAGCAACCATATGACTTCTGCTATTTATAATGTAAAACAGCAGCACTGTGGGAATAATATGTTCTAAAATGCCTTTAGTGCAGCATTACTGTTAAAGTGTGTCTTCCTTGGAGAATTCACACATACCCTTAAAGTCAGCATCAGGCAGGCTTTTTCTATATATTTGCAGCCTAAAATGACTGGTTTTATTTGCTTCAATTCTTGTGTTTTTCAGCAAAAATATTCCCAAATCTTGAAGAGACAGGTCAGGTTTAGGAAGGTTACTTTTACTGAATGTATTTCACTGCAGATTACAAAATCACAAATGCTTTGCAGGTGTGACTGTAAGATGATTCCCTATTTAAAATGTAACTAATGTGATGAAATAAAGATGGTCATGTTTTATTATGATCAAGTTACATGCATACGGTTGTTTCCCAACCCTGGTCAGCATAAGTCACACACAATTGCAGCAAATATCAATGGTCAACAATGAAATAAATTGACTTTTTTTGTTAATTTTCTAGAAACTATTTCACTGAGTCACAAAAGTGAATTCCATCTCAATTTCCCTTTCATATGCAGCCTTTATCTAAGGGATAATCAGTTGTTCTCATAAAATAAAACCCAATAGGCGTTTTAGACTTGTTGTAAAATACAAGGGCTTAATTCGGTGAAAACAACCACCCAGGTAGCAAAGAATTCTGGCCCATATTTGGCATAAATCTGGCACAGCAGGCATTCATCCAGCACTGACATACAGCATGTGGGCCAAACATGGCCCTGGTTTGGCAGAGGTAAGACCGTCTCTAAGGCAGCACACAATACTTGGGCCAGATGTAAAATGTAGTACTTGGCCCAGATGTTAATAATTGATAAGTGAGCCATGTAAATTTGGCCTATCTTGACCAACATTCAAAATACAATTGTATTATTTTCAAATAATGAAAAAAAATCTGCCAATCAGGTCACTTCGAGAAAAAGCAAGCCAAAAGTTCTCCTGAAGCGCATTGATTCATGGGTTTATCAATTGTATTGCAGTCGTGACACACAAACATATCTGGCCCAGTTCAGGCTCAGTTATGGGTTATTAACTTGGCTGACACTTGGCCCAGATACAATCTATGTTTTGGCCTTTTCTGAATGCCAGACTTGGTCTAGTCATGTACCGTAATTCACTGCAGGCCAAGCAAAAGCTGATTGTGTGGGCCAGAGCTGGGCCAGAGATATTTTGCTATGTGGGCACCTAAATTTATGTTATCCTGCTTATTATATACTATTTATGTCCTGCCTGTCAAAAATTAAACCATTAGACACAAAATGTTGGTAGCAGCCTCTTCATTAAAATTACCTCTTTCATTAAAAGCAAAGCTGACAAACAAAATTGTCTGAATGCTGCCTACACCACACTAATTATTCTGTCACAAAATGGCACCAAACAGTTTAGAACAGTGGAGTCAAATATAAGCATATAAATATGGATATGAATGCATTCAACAATGGTCAAGATGATTCAAGCCTGTGTTAGTTTCAGCTGTTGTTATCTGGGAATAATATATCTTGGAATGTCACGGCTGACCAACCAGAATCAAGTATTCCAGAGAGCCATCTAATAAGCATAAATAAGGTATAAAGAAATGCATTTAACAGCACTATCCTTTGACAAGCTTTTACAACACTGAAGGTACAGTTTTGCACTTTGTTTTGAAAGTATGCCCTGTGTTAATTATGACACATAAAAATGTATTAAAATTTGCCTTTACATGCACATGATTATTTTACTGCTGTTAAACTAACCTACATTTGCTCTTCAAAAGGTTCAGTATGAACAGTACCTGGAAGAGAACTTCCCACGATGGCAGCAAAGACTGAAAGACATAAGAGTTTCTGAAAAGTCAAAGGTGAAAGTGATGTCTTATAAAAGGTGTTGTGACTAAGAATAAAATAAAACATTAAAGGTTTACTGATTGTCTGAAAAGGTTACTGAAGAATGAGTGGAAAACAGTAAACATGCATTCATAGGCAAGGCAAGGCAAGGCAAGGCAAGGCAAGGCAAGTTTATTTATATAGCACATTTCATACACAATGGCAATTCAAAGTGCTTTACATAAACAAGAATAAAAGAAACAAGTAAAATAAAAGTGAAAAAAACAAATAATAAAAATGCATAAAAACAAAACATAAAAACAGGTAAAATGTGATATGAAAGAATGAAGAAGAAGAGAAAAACATGATAGTGCAATCTGTCGGACGCAGCACAGTGCTCATTCAGTAAAGGCACAGCTAAACAGATGTGTTTTCAGTCTTGATTTGAATGTGCCTAATGTTGGAGCACATCTGATCATTTCTGGAAGCTGATTCCAGCAGCGAGGGGCATAGTGGCTAAAAGCCGATTCACCCTGCTTTGACTGAACTCTTGGAACTTCTAGTTTATATGATCCTAAAGATCTGAGTGATCTGTTAGGTTTGTATTCAGTGAGCATATCTGTAATGTATTTAGGTCCTAGGCCATTTAGTGATTTATAGACCAGTAATAATACTTTAAAATCTATTCTGAATGTAACTGGCAGCCAGTGTAAAGACCTGAGGACAGGTGTGATGTGCTCTGATTTTCTGGTTCTGGTTAGAATTCTGGCTGCAGCGTTCTGGATGAGCTGCAACTGTCTGACTGTCTTTTTAGGAAGACCAGTGAGGAGTCCATTACAGTAATCCACCCTGCTGCTGATAAAAGCATGAACAAGTTTTTCTAAATCTTCACTAGAAACAAAGCATCTGATTCTTGCTATGTTTTTGAGATGATAGTATGCTGATTTACTGACTGCTTTGACATGACTGTTGAAACTCAGATCTGACTCCAGAGTCACACCAAGATTCTTGACCTTATTTTTTGTCGTTTGACCTTTAGTGCCAAGGTACGCATTTACCTTGAGAACCTCATCTTTGTTTCCAAACACAATAATTTCAGTTTTCTCTTTGTTTAACTGAAGAAAGTTTTGGCACATCCAATTGCTCATTTCATCAATGCATTGGCAGAGGGTGTCAATGGGGCTGTAGTCATTAGGCTGTAAGGCTAGGTAGATCTGAGTGTCATCAGCATAGCTGTGGTAGGAGATTTGGTTCTTTCTCATTATTTGGCTTAGAGGGAGCATGTAAAGGTTGAACAGGAGAGGTGCCAGAATCGAGCCTTGTGGGACTCCACACGTCATGGGTGTCCACCTCGACCTATGGTCACCTATACTGACATGGTAACCTCTACCTTCTAGGTAAGATCTAAACCATTTGAGGACCGTGCCAGACAGCCCAACCCAGTTTTCCAGCCTATCCAAAAGTATGCTGTGATCGACAGTGTCAAATGCAGCACTGAGATCCAACAATACCAGCACTGTTATTTTACCTGAATCTGTATTTAGGCGTATATCATTGATTATCTTTATAAGAGCGCTCTCTGTACTGTGATGTGCTCTGAACCCCGATTGAAAATTGTCTAAACACCCCCTGAAGTTTAAGAACTTGTTAACCTGGTTAAAAACAACTTTTTCAATGATTTTGCCAATGAAAGGGAGATTTGAGATTGGCCTGTAATTGCTCAATAGGGTGTTATCCAGGTTGCTCTTCTTCAAGAGGGGTTTAACAACTGCAGTTTTAAGTGAGGTTGGAAAAATCCCTGATAGAAGTGAAGCATTTACCACTTTTAGAAGATCCATTTCTAAACAGGTAAACACCGTTTTGAAGAATGATGTGGGGAGCGTGTCAAGACTGCAGGTTGATGTTTTCATAACTTGCACAGTCTCTTCTAAGATTTCACCGTTAATTGCCATGAAATCAGACATAATGTCTGATTTCTTAAGTTGTGGTTGAGCTTTTTTGATATCGACACAACTTGACTGATTGGATGAGCTTATTGCCTTTCTGATATTATTGATCTTATCAGTGAAGAAATGAGCAAACTCATTACATTTGCTTTCAGAGAGGAGCTCACTTGGAATCTGACTGGGGGGGTTTGTGAGTCTCTCTATCGTTGCAAAGAGTGTACGAGCATTATTTAAGTTGCTGTTTATAAGGCTTGAAAAGAAAGTCTGTCTAGCAGTGTTTAGTTCCATATTAAAGGCATGAAGACTGTCTTTATAGATGTTATAATGGACTACTAGTTTCGTCTTTCTCCACATACGCTCAGCTTTTCTGCACTGTCTTTTCATCATTTGTACTTTCGGTGACCTTGTCCAAGATCCCTTTTGCCTGCCAGTCATCTTCTTGACTTTAACAGGAGCGATGTCATTTATGACATTCTCAATTTTAGAATTGAACAAATCAAGGAGAGAATCAACAGAATCTGCAGATATACTTGGTGCTTGCGATATGGCTTTCATAAACTGCTCACTGGTGTTCTCATTTATGCATCTCTTTCTGACAGAGACAGATCTGTCTTTAATAGCTGGAGTGATCAATATATCAAAAAAGATACAGAAATGATCAGATAGTGCCACATCCTTAACAACAGTCGATGAAATGTGTAAACCCTTAGTTATAAGTAGATCAAGAGTGTGTCCACGATTGTGTGTGGGTCCTTGAACATGCTGAGTCAGATCAAAAGTGTTAAAAACAGTCATCAGTTCTTTTACAGCATTGATTTCTGGATTATCAATGTGAATATTAAAATCCCCAGCAATACTAAAATAATCAAATTCAGAGGTTACTATTGATAACAGCTCTGTAAAATCCTCAATAAAAGCTGGAGAATATTTTGGAGGTCTGTAGATAATGATCAGTAAGATGCGTGGAGACCCTTTTAGTGCTATACTCAGATATTCAAAAGACAGATAGTCACCAAATGACACTTGTTTACATTCATACACATCTTTAAACAGGGCAGCGATGCCTCCACCTCTCCTATTAACTCTGCAAACACTCAAAAAGTCAAAGTTTAAAGGAGCTGCTTCATTCAGAACTGCTGCGCTACAACTGTCATCTAGCCAAGTTTCAGTTAAAAGCATAAAATCAAGGCTATTTGTGTTGATAAAATCATTGACTAAAAGAGACTTATTGTTGAGTGATCTGATGTTTAAAAGCGCTAACTTAACAGTTTTAGCTGTTTTTTCTATAGTAGTCTCAGATCTACATTTAATAGACACCAGATTTGAATGATTTGCTAAACGGCCTGATGAAGTCTTTGGTTTTCTGTCACTTAACACAACACATATCTGCTTAGAGAAAGCTACAGACACACTGGGTTCCTGCTTGTTCTGAAAACATTTGATAAAGACACTGTTATCTAAGCAGGCCCCCGACACACATCAGTGACAGCTCTTGTGTTCACCAGCTGAAGATGGGGCGTTGTTGTTTGGGCCCTGGCGGTGTGATCGGAGGGCTCTTCCAGGTGGGCTCATAGGTGGTTGTGGAGCAGGCCGCTTTTTGGTTGGTAACTGGGGGCTTGCGGCAATGGAGTGTGAAAGTTTAGTTCCAGCATACACCAGTTCCTCCATCTTTTTTGAAAAACCCAAGAGTGGTGAACATTGTGACAATGAGAACGTGTCCGGTGACAGAGGCTGTGCATCTGGAGATTCTGTCTGCAGAAATATGTTTTCCTGAGGATCATTTTTGAGTGACGAGACTTGATGCTGTTCTGATGAGTCACAGTCTGCCTGTGTTGAGCAGAGGGCAACTGATAGTGTCTCTATCAACATTGGGTGTTTTGGCTGCGTGGCATTATCACTGTCCTTGGGTGATTCGTCAG